GCCTTTGGAGCAGCCTTTGGTCACTTTCTTTCAAAAACATCTTGGGAATATGAACCACCAAAAATAAGTCTGAAATTCAGACTCAAATTTTGCCATTTAAGTCTGTTAAAATTGGTCAGAAATGAACACCATTTGAAATGTGGGATTAACACAACTGTAATTACAATGCAGACTACATTATCTTTTGTACATATATGGTGAAACTTTTCAAAAAGTTTATCTTCAAAAAGTCTTTTACATTACTAAGACTAAAGACTTACTGGTCCTTTGAATTTCAGCCAACTCTAAAACTTAATGTCATCTAAGGACACTTTTTAGGTTTGTACCGAACGTCTGCACATTGCCAACGGCAAAGAATTCACCCTCTTAACAAGTCCCCAGTGCTATTTACTAAAATGAAATAACCCATTTTTACTAGTTAGCAGCTAATCATGTAAAATAATGACAATTAACAAGCACTGTGTTTAGACACTTTAATTAACGTAGCCCTTAATAGTGCGGAAAAGCTGCCAATGCCTTCGAGGAGAATTGCGAGTTTGCCACCATGTAAAGTTAAACTTACTTTCTTAAGTCCTAAATATTCTAATGAACAGGCTCCTTGGCTGCCTTTTGTTTTAGCTAAAGTGTACCTGTACTCAGACAACACAAAAAAAACGCCTATGTGATCTACTGTGCCTGCTTGACATGTGCTCTTTGTTAAAATGGTTTTAGCAATAAGTGAGCTTGTGGGTTTTGTTTTAGTTTGGAATAAGGGAGCATTCATATATTGCAGATACTACATCAAGAATGATTGTCATATTCTATTGAAAGTAAGACAGCAAGTTTAATTTGAAAGCGACGTTCAATGTTTTTAATTTTATTTTGATATATTTACAAAATGATGTAGTATATCATTTTTTTAATTAATATTTTTGTTATATTTTTGAAATAAGTATTTACTGTGGGATATATCCATAGCCCTGTTAGGAGTTACTACTTAAAGAGATCTTGTCACCAAATTAAAAAATTCAGGTAGAAGTATTTTCTGTTTTTAGAAAGCACAGCCTTCTCCCTTCCTGCACATCATATCTCTCTTCTGTTCTGTAGGTGTCTAATTACTGGCTGGGCTATTCTGCTCTTCCCTGCACTTGCCTACATAGACTTTTATGTATCGGCCATGGTTGGAGAGAAGGAAATACTATAGAATGTGACTTGAGTGACAGTTTTGAGTCTGCTGGGGCTGCTGGCATCACATACAATATGGCAGCACCCAGCAGCAAAGAGGTTGTAAAGACTCAAGGTTTTTTTTAAAAAAAACCTTCTGTGTGCAGGAGGGCCCCAAGCCCCCCTCATTACTTACCTGATCCTCATCGTGACCCATTGATGTGCACAACAGCCTCAGTGGTCCTGGGTCTCTGGCTCCTAATTGGTTGAGACAGCAAGCGGGAGCCATTGGCTCCTGCTGCTGTCAACCGCAGCCAGTCAGCCAATGAGGAGAGAGAGGGGGTGGGGCCAAGCCACAGCTCCATGTGTGAATGGACACATGGAGCAGCGACTTGGGAACAACCTGCTCCTGGCAAGCTGCTTGCTATGGGGTCACCAACAGAAAGGGGGAGCCAAGAGCGCTGGCAGGGAACATGAGAAGAGATCCAGGCTGTACTGTGCAGAACCATACACACAACAGGTAAGTATAACGTGTTTGTTATTTTACAACAAAAAATTAACCTTTAGAACCACTTTAAGCTGACCATAGATGGATTGAATCTTGGTCGGTTCAGCAGAGACCAGACAAAATTCAATCTATCTATGGGCAGGCTGATTGTACCCAAGCTGATCCATTGATCAACTTGGGTACAGCTAGCTTGTTGGATTTTTAGCATTCCATTACTGCCTGTGGCTATAGCTGCTAGCACTAATCATTGTATTCTGCCGGCTGGGAAAGCTCCCTATGCCCCCCTTTCTCCCAAAGGAGAATACAATAGAGCTGCGGAAGGCATTCCCCCCATCAACAACCAACCACATTATGGTGGTTTAGGCTAAAAGGCACCAAATATGCCATCAACTAGCTAGTGCAGATGGGAAAATACAGTGGCCCAGGCCACTGCCCATGCTGTGTATCAGAAATCCACCCATATGTCCTGGCTTTCCTTCTTAGGCTCCAATAGAGAAGCCAACTTCTTGAAGGCTTGCACATAGATGGTTTCCCCCATGCAGGAGCGTAATATGTCATGGTTCCACAACACCTAAACTCAGATGTTGGAAACATAGTGCTACGTAATCTACATTTACAGCTGCTTGTTAGATTTATGCCCATTTTTTGTCCCTTTACTCCCATGCTTATGCTTGCCTTATTGAAACGCGCCAGCCATTTGACCGCACTGACAGTGAGCACACCTTGCCTGCCGTTGTGGCCATTGTCATTTTTCTATGCTTTTTAGATACATGCTTCGTCTGTGAGTATGTTTTTATTATTCTTTCACTCCTACAATAAACCTTGGATAATGCACTAGGTGTGTGCGCCACATGTTTTTCTCTCTCTCTCTCTTGCCTTATTGGGCAAACCACATCTTGCTTCAGAGTTTAGGTTGACTTTAATAACTTCAAAGAGCAGTAGCCAACAACAGCTAATATCTGATCTGACCACAGTTACCTATACTGTGATTGGCTATGCAATGAGCATTTTCAAAAATGAACAGAGTTCAACTGCTATTGGAAAACCTTAAGAAAGACCCAATTTTGACTTTAAAACACATGCAAAGTTCGCCAACTTCCAGCACTGTAATCACACACCGCCAATACTGAGAGACTAGGCTTCTAAATAATGGCATGTAAATGGTCTCCCACTGAGCCTCTGTGATTGTTTCTTAACATCATCCTGGAACTCTATGTGCTTTTGGGATGAACTGTCCTTTGAAGCACAGCATGGGTTACCCAGGCAAAGCGAAAATCTCTGATCATGAAGAGTTTGACGCTGCTCTGCAGGGATGGTGTGGGATGGATGAAATGAAAGGAAAGTGTGCTTAATGCTTTCACTGTGTGACATATGTAAAGTAATTCTTTTTATTCAGTAATAAATGGGTGACAGAAAATCTCCCTTCCACCATCCTCCAAGAGTCATTCAAAAAAGTCAAACAATAGTTTTGTCTTTTTAATCAAAGTCATGTATGGCACAGTATCCAACGGGAGGGTGGAGTGATCATTTGTGTGCAGTTATGAGCTTGCATAAGGGCACTAAAACTAATGGATCACTTGGTGCATACTGGTGAGCTGAATCCCCCTTACTCTTTTCACCTCTATTGGGGACTCCAAAGTTGAGATCTCTTATTGTTATTCAGTCACACTGTCAGCTAACAACCTTCATTTTCCAAATTTTACATCCTATGCCTAGTTACGACTGTGCATTTTAACCCCAGAGTTAGACCCAGTGCTTTCAGTAATGTAGCAGACTGGTCAAACATGCCCCCTCCCCTTCTCTGCAATGCAAGTCTTTGTGAGGACACTTGTGCTGAAGGGTGTGGCTGTTACTCAGCTCTGCTGGCACAGGGAACTGCAATGTGAATGCCAGAAGCAGAATATTCGGTGAAAGAACAAGTCATAACATGTAGGGGTACAAGACCATAAAGAGAACAAAAGTTGTAAGATTTCAGTTGGGCTTTAAGATGATTCAATGTTACTAACTGGTAATTGGGATGCTATTTTAAGGCTATTTTTTTAAGTCTGCATGAATAACAATACAAAACAAAAAAGACCATAATAACACTAGTCAAGAGATATGGTTACAGCATGATATACGGTGGCATGAACGTACATGTCATTTATAGCAAGTATCATAATAGTAATATGAATGATGTCCTGGATGGCAGGTATATTCCACTGGTATTTGAGTCGTGGTCCCTTTAAGCTCCAAGGAGCAGGGCCCTCCTAACCCTCTTGTAATGAACTGTATTGTTGCTGTATTTTCTCCCTTTATATTGTAAAGTGCTGAGCAAACTGTTGGCACTATATAAATCCTATATAATAATAATAATACTAATACAGGGGGACAGTTTTGCAGACATTGCTTGGTACTTATGAGTTCTCACCCATGTAGGGGAGGTCTTCTGGGGAAGTTTGGCTAGAGAGATGCCTGATTTCCATTATTCTCTGGTTTGATAATCCCATACTAGGGACCCAGAATTTTGGAGGTTTAAAGAGTTTTGACTGGGAAGAACCTCCAAACCCTGTCAACCAGGACTTTGGTCCTGAAGGGAGGCTTGAAAGGCAGCAGGGTGAAATCAGCATCTGTGTCAGTATGAGGTAGTGTGGAAGAGTTCACATGCTGTGAGCAAGGTGAATGCTCTTATCTCCCAAAAAGATAACAGAACCTTCGTTATACCCAACCAAAATGAACTAGTGAACCATAGAGAGGAAGAAAACACAGAAAAATACATCATGGGTAACATAGAGACAAGTGACGTGATTGAACCAGTTCTTTTTAGCCCAAGTCTCACCACTCTAGAAAATTGAATTTTAGTTGTACCCCAGAAATTGAGAACACTATGTGGCTGGTACACTTTAAACTCTCTGAAAGAATCTGCCAATCTAATCATCTTTTTGTTCTCCTTGGCATTGAGTCACGGCAAGTGATTGATATCTGTCCGCCTACATTCATGAACTGCTGCAGGGATGAGGTGAGTAAAATTTGGAGTTCAAGTAAAATGTGTCCTCTAAGGAATTGTACTGCCATATTTTCTTATAGAAACAGAGAGAAATCACTGTACCATACCAGGGGAACTCAGGTCACAATTTTTTTTGTTTTATAATCTAAAAAAAGTAGAATTTCTAAATGTCTGTGGTTCAGCTGAAGAGATTTCTTGCTTCCTGTTAAAGACACAGTATTATGAGTGGATATTTCCAAAGACAACAGAGATAGAAAGCTGAAAGATGACCTAGTCTTCCCTCATACAAGAGATAGTTTACTTCCTAACACAGGGCTTAAAATTTCAAGTCCTGAGCTACTAGCCAGGCCTTAAGAGTTACTCGTCACCAACAAACACACACAAACAGAGACACCTGTACACACAGACATGTACATACACACACAGAAACATGTACACACATGCGCAGAGACACATGTACACACACACATACAGACACATGTATACACACACGTACACGTATACACACAGATACATGTACATACACAGAAATACATGTACATACATACACAGACACATGTACACACAGACATATGTACATACACACACACACATATGTACATGCACACACACACAAACACATGTACACACAGACACATGTACACACACACGCATACATGTACATACACGCAGACACATGTACAGATACACACATTTACATGCATACACAGACACACACAAACACACACACATGTACACGTACACACACACACACACACATAAAAAGTTACAATACTTTGTTGTTCACTCACAGAGCATGGTACTGCACTCTAGGGGGAGGCAGAGAGCACAGCACACACTCCTTCCTTTGCTTTCACTGCGCTCAACTATTGATCAGTCTGACAGCTCCCAGTGCCAATGACAGATCCGGCCTGAGCTCCGAGCCTGCTCAGCTAGACGGCCCTGGGGGACACACTCGCCCCCACCATAATTTCCACTTGCCATTGGCAATCAGGCGAGAGGAAATTTCAAGCCCTGTCCTAACATTCACTTTCATAAATTTGTATATGGTCTTCTTAACCGACCCAAAAAGAGTTTGTCCACACTTTTTATTCAGATTCGTATTTTGTTGGGGTGGTAACCAACTGGGTTGTGCCTCAGTTTCTACATACACATCAATTTCTACATATGCTTCAAATCTGCATGTATATCCTTCTATGAGTTGCACCCAGGGCCTCTACTTTTGACTAGCTGGGGTTGGCTTACTAAAAAAACTGGAGAGTGCAAAATCTGGTTCAGCTGTGCATGTTAGCCAATCAGCTTCTAACTACAACTTATTCAGTTGAACTTTGAAAAAAAAACCTTGGAAGCTGATTGATTTCTATGCAGAGCTGCACCAGATTTTGCACCCTACAGCTTTAGTAAAATAACTCCACTGTGTCCAAGTACCATATTTGTAGACAGATACATTAAATAGACAGATAGATGGATAGACGATAGACCAGGGTTTCTCCAGGGTTTCTCCAGAAGTTGCTAGAGATTCATTGAGCAATATGTACATCTCAGAGAGGTTCCCATTGACAACACTGATCTTTTTAGCTATCTGTAAGGGGGTAATTCTTCTTAATGACAACAAGTGTAAGGAGCATTCTTTCCACTGACCATCACATTAATATATCATTAGTAATAGATATAGTAATTTTTAGCAGGGGTTCCCTAAGACCAAAAAATATTTCAAGGGTTCTTCTGTTTTAAATAAGTTGAGAAAGGCTGTGATAAACTAAATTATATGGCCAAAAGTGTTAGGCCTCTTTTGAAATATTTGAGTTTAGGTGTTTCCAGTAAAGGGCCATATTAAAGCTGCAAAAGACATTTTAAGCAATTGTGGGCTTCCAACCTTGTAGAAACACTTTACGAAAGACCATTTCTTTGCCAGCACAAAGCCAGCTCCATGAAGAGATGGTTTCATGGGCTGGTGTAGAGGAACTCAATTGGTCTACACAGATTCCTATTGTCAACCTCATTGATCACTTTTGGGATCAACTAGAATGCTGACCAGATCTTCTCATCCAACATCAGTAGCTTATTAACTCGGTAGTGGAAGCTGAACTCCTTATAGCATGTGACCACTATAATACATGGGTAGTGACTGCAACAAGTGATGCTGTGCAGATACTGAACAAGGAGATCTAAAGTAATCAGCACTTCAGTTGAATGTTTCACACATAGTGGAAACAGTGCCACGTACATCATAAACCAACATTTCAGGGCCTCGTATGATCCCTTTCCGTAAGTCAAGACCCCCAAAACATTGGTTGTTTCTGACTTATATTATGTTGTGTCCACAATAAATGTGTGCAATGTACACCGGGGAGTACTAATGACTTTACATCATGTTCAACATCTTGATCTGTCTTCACAAATGTCATTTTGGATGAATGGGCAAAAATTTCCATAGACACACCCTAAAAATGTATGAAAAGCCTTCCCAGAAGAGAGGAAGCTGTTTAAGCTGCAAAGGGGGAGCCTGCTCCATATTAATGCCCATGGCTAGATAGATAGATAGATAGATAGATAGATAGATAGATAGATAGATAGATAGATAGATAGATAGATAGATAGATAGATTTTTTTCTTCCTGTCCAACTTTCACTACATTAATCAAAGCTAGTTGCTGATTGGTCGCTTCGGTTCACCACCCACTGCCTCTTCTGCAATCTGTTTATGAATAACCTCTACTCTCATTGCCGAGTTTGAAGGAACATAATGTATTTATCAACAGTCTGTCTAACCTAATAGAAAAGCTAAGTGCCTAATGATGCCTGTTTAATGTCACTTCATTAAACCTCAACTTCACATCAATTACTATTCGGCGTTTAGGAATATATATGCAGATAATAGGCCCAGGTCTGACAAAGAAAAATAAGAAGTGCCTCAACAGTGAAAATTCCTGCCTATCGTAGCAGATTTCTGCATAAAATAAGCTGTTTCTACGGTGGATATATTATGCTTTATTAAACCATTTGCTTCATAAATTTTTATGTTTTTTTAAAGGATTATCCTGCTGGTATCACAAGACTTTCGAGGTGCCCAACCTTTCAGCCAAACAATATGCTGGGGAAACAATTCTCATCTAATTTTACGATTATTACAATTTTTTTTCTTTTACTGAAAGGAAAACTGCAGTGATTTTTCAGTAAGTACGCATTTCATTACTGCAGCATTTACCTAAAAGTAATATCTGACAAGTTGTTTGCAATTTTTGACTTTCTCGATGCTCCGTATTTTCATTACTTTCTTTTATATAGAGTTGTAATTTCTCCCCCTGGTGGTCACCTCTATACCATGGAATAGGTGCTATCTAAAAGGCTCGAAATTGTTTGAGGAACAAAAATGACATGTAATACGTACTGTGCGTACTAATAAGCTAAGCATAGGTAAAACAGTTTCTTCCTATAGAGAAATCTCTCCAAAGGAAGCGGAAACCCCATCTTAGACAATTTACACCAGAACAGGTGTTCCCAATAAATGATTTCTCCTTCATTTCTGTTCTGGTGATTGCCTTGCAATAATAGATTTGCCATCGCTTTCTGTTCCAGAGACAATGATCACCGGGACAAACATAGATATGGCTTCAGATACTGTATATACTGCTATGACTGTTTAATAATGCTCATTTAACCATTTGCTACCTACTTACAGTACATTTACTGTGAGCGGGCAGCAGGTACAGTCTCAGCAACGTAAATGTATATTGCTGGCTATCTTCAGGGTTTGGGGCGCGCATGGACACGACTTTGTCAGCAGGTTTCAGCCAATGGCTTTGGCTGAAACATGCTGATCGCATGTGTCCAATCACAGCACAGAGCTCTGTGTTTACAAACATACAGAACTCTGTGTTCACAGAACAGCAATCTGGCTGCTTCTTCTCCCTGAAAAGCAGCACATAATACACACATTACACTTGATAGACAAGAAGTTAATATTTCCCCTTGATGTTAACCCCTTCCCAGCCAGTGTATTTGGTACAGTGTAAAGTATTATATCTGATCACTGTATTAGTGTCAATAGCAACGTCCGTGTCAGTTAGTGTCCCTCCCAGGCAGTGTCTGTTAGTGCCAGATTGCTGATCACTGCCATTACAAGTATCGTGTCTATAGCTGTGTAAATTCCAGTATATATACCATAGTTTGTAGACGCTATAACTTTCACATAAACCAATTAATACCATTTATTTGGATTTTTTAGGATCAAAGGCATGTAGCAAAACACATTTTCTCTTACATTTAGGAAGAAATACCTGCTGTCCTCCACTCTCCCTGCATGGTGGTAGCTGGTAGCGCCACCTGTACAGGGAGGTCAAAATTTATCTGCATAGCCTGTATAAGTAATGAACAAATATGGCTTCCCTCATGTACACGAACTATTCATGGGAATAATGAACATTTATATTCATTGATAAGGTTGCTTAAGTTAAGATGATTAGCCATCAACTTCCAAAAACTGAAATTTTGGATGGACTGACAAGGGGCACCTGTCATGTATTTTTTACTCCTTTCAACATTGGCTGCACCCCTTCCCCTCTACAGTTCTTTTGCTACAAAAATATCAAGAGGACCGGACTAAATTTGGGAAAAAGTTATTACAATATGTTAAATATTGAGGCTTGCTGCTGCCCCCTCTATCCCTGAGTCCTTACGTACTGGCTCACGGATGCCATTTTGGAGCAGGGGCCCTGTCACAGAGCCTGCAGATCTGCAGCATATGAAAAGTGTGGGAGCAAAGAAGAGAAGGTCATTGTTAGGGTTTACATACACTTTAAATGCCAATTGAAGACTGGAGTTGCCCTTTTAATCATTCTGCATAGTTCGAGATTTCCACCTCATAAACAAACCTCCACTAACCGTACATTCACCCCGTGACAAAGAGTAAGCTGCACATTATCTGCCGTCACAAGCGACGATATTAATCACGGTGTCGTTATATAGATCTTTTCATCCTCACATCTCCTATCTCTTTACATAGCCAATTAATCAAGTTCCACATTTTTTTATTAAGAAAATATAATTGGCTCCCTTTCATATACTCCAGAAAGATGAAAGGGAAAATTGATCATGAAATTTTAAGATGAGACTCGGTGCGGGGAAAGTAGAGGGATGGACAATTTAAATTATAAATTATCTGGCTTTAAAAATTCTACAAGTAGTGGGAACGTGACAAGGGAGAGGAGAGATGGAGCCCTCGGATAAGCAAAAGATGAGCGAATGGCCACATAAATTTCATAGTAGAAATTCTACAGGGATTTAACAGATGATATGTCCCATAAAGATCCAAGTTTGGCACATAGGTCACAATTTTACAGATCTATGTATGTAAGGCATAGATATCTAGCAGAAGTTAGTCACTTTCAACTGGGCTTGATCTGTAATGTTGAAGATGTTTTGCGGCTTATCCAAGCCACTTCTTCAGTTCTAATGAATATGAGGAATATACCCCATCATTTTTATAGCCAAACAGGTAGTACCAACACCTTGATCCAATCAACATGGAAAAGCAAATGGTATTGTCCAAGAACAGGATGGGGGAAGTGAGTTGTGGAACAATCCTGTTCTAGTTATATAATTCCATCATTGATATCAGGAAGGCTTCATAGGCGTTAGTCCTTTGATCTACATGGCATGAACTGTTGTCAAACTGCCCTGGTAGAGATGTTAAATTGGCATTATATTCAACAATTCACACATTCAGCTATATAAATCAAAGGATTAACACTTATGAAACCTTTCTGACATTAAGGATGTTATTATATAACTAGAACATGGTCTTTCCACAACTTTCACACCTTTTATACTGTTATTGGATAATACCATATGCCTTTCCATAGTAACTGGATCAAGGTGTCGTTGCTACCTGCGTGGATATTTTCTGACATTAATCAGAAAAGAAAAAGTGGTTTGGAGAAGCTTCAAAATGTCTTTAACATTACAAAAGAAGGATGGTTGCATGCCACTAACTACTACTCGCTATACCATGA